CACCCCAAAACCCCCACAAACAAACAATCCAACCAACAAACAAACAATCCAAACCAACCAACCAATAAACAAAAAAAAAAAAAAAAAAAAAAAACCACAAAAAACCCCCACCACCTCACATTCAGTACTGAACCAGTCTGTGCAAAGATTAACCTCGGAGACATCCTCAGTGAACAAAAGGGTTTCTCTGGCTGGGGAGTAGGCAGAGGTAAAGACATATTTGGGGTCTTAGCGGTCCTGCTACCATTCATGACAACTTTAGCAGTTTATTGGGTTTATTTTGGTCTGGTTTTGATTTTATTTTTTTTTCCTTTACAAAAAGAATCTCTTTGCTGGCAATACATTTATGGAGACGTGAATAAATTACCAGCTCAGCAACCACCCCTGTGCCCCGCGTAAGAGAAAGAGGGAAAAGTCTGTGGCACCTAAACTTACTCAGGCAGTACTTTGCTACACAGAGCCTAAAGGAAGTGCTGGGATCTAGTGCTTGCTTAAGCTAAGTCTGGAGAGACAACATCAGGGCTACCCTTCTGAGGAATTATTATGCATCACGCTTTTCTAATTAATGCTTATTAGCCAACCTCAAACTCTGACATGGCGGGATTGTGCTTTCCTCCAACCTGACTTCCTCCTTTCAGTACAGTGAAAGCAGATTTTTTTTTTACATTGCGAGCTAACTAATACTTTACATATGTGCAATTGGATTTCCTACAGTATACAACAGTTGCAAGTGGTAAATAATAAATCATTTCCTTTGTCATCTGCAGTTGATGCCGCTTTTTAATTTGCACAAGTACACAGAATTGGGTCTCCGGGCACCAATAACTTAAATCACACCTATTGCATTTTATTATTTCCAATAGGTTTGTTGCAAAGGAGTTTTGGGATTTAGTTATTTTGCATTACTTGTTTTAATACGATAGAGTGAAAAATACGGGGGACGGTAAGAGCTTCCAAATGGTGGTATCATCTCTTCATTCCCCAACAAAGCAATCGTTTCCTCGTAGTGATGATTAATTTTGAATTGCAGGAGTGTGAAAGCCAAGAATATCAGAGATTTCTCTCCTTCTCCTCCACCTAGTGCAGAGCTGGGTGTCTCATCTCTCATTCGTAACCTTTCAGTCCTCTTTTTCCTGCAGATCTGCTTGCATCTGTTTATACATTACTTATTTTCAGGAGATTTTCCCTTCCTCCTCTTATTCTTTCAGCTTGACAAATATTCTATTTGCAAGAATTCAGATTTGCTATTGCTTCTTTGTTCACCTCCCGGCATTTTTTTTCTCTTTTTCTTCCTCTTTTCTGTCTTTCCAAGATAAGCTCTTTAAAGTGTTTGCGATAACATCTACGACCTAGAGATTGTTTTTCATTGGGTCTATTGTGAGCAGTCACCGACTTATTGCACTGCCGCAGAGCCGAGTCTAGGCTACAAACGTAACAAATGAACAACTTGTCCTCTGCGGTCTCACCGCGGGATCCAATTAGTTCCTAAACCGTTTGCACAAGTTTTTTAATTATTTTTCAAGAGTTGCGGCTTTTATAGGCTTCCCTAAACTCTTCAAGAAACCAGTTCATTTTAGGATTAAATGCTTCTTAAAATTACTAGCAGCGTTGCTCCCTTAAAACTAATGGATTGATTCTCCAGGCAACGCAGCATTCTTATGGACGCTGGCCTGGGTTACTGGGCTTCAGCAGACACTGAGGAAAAAAAGAGCTCTGTTTAAAAACTTTGCATTTAAGTGCATCCATAGAGGTTTGATTTATTTCTTTTTTTTCCTTCTTCTTTTCCCCCTATAACGTTTAAACATCGGTATGCAAGGCAGGGTATCACGTGACTCCCGGCCCCTGCCTCCTTGCCATGGACTGCGACTTCACCTCACCCTGCTCGGTTCCTGCCCCCTCCGCCTGGCCGAAGGGACAGAGGAGAGAGCTGTCTGCCCCAAAGAACACGGCTACTTTCACAATAACTAAAGCCAAAGTGTTTGCAGCATCAAAAGTATATGAATACATATAACCTAGATACTTCCGGAACAGTGCTCCTTTAAGATAAGGATTATATTTTATGCACATACATATCACAGCTTGCTAAATTTCATCAAACGATCATACGATAGCTAATACGTGTATGTATATACACGCACATACACATCCTTCGTTAACGCATCTCGAGTCATCGTAGAGACGAAATTTATTTCTTTCAGGACAATAAGTCTTTGAATGCATTTCAGAGATTGCAGGAAGAACATGTACTTATATAATAATTCACCTTGGATTTTTCCGAATGTGTGCTTATACACATAAATTGTATATGAATGCATGTATATATACATACGCGATTTTAAGCATCTTCAGCGTAAGGCATCCTACCTTGTACTATCAATTTTCAAGCAGACTTGATAAGAGTTCTGTCCCAAAATGGACATCACAATAGTAGCCATGATGTTTAATTAAACACTCTGATCTTTTACATTTGAAAATACTGTAGTTAAAGACAATGGCAGAGAAGGTGGGGGGCTGGGGAAGGGAAGAGAAAGGAACATGTGAAAAATGGTGGACTGTGTAATAAGCAGCGCTCTGATCTCTCTGTAACTTTCAAGTCTCTGCCACATTAGGGTTAACAAAAGAGACAAAAAACTATCAAGTATATATGAATTTAGCCTATTTTTTTATTTCTGTGTGTTCATAGTAAACATTTTTGTAAGTGACAAACACGGGCATATGACCACAGTATCACAATCAAGAAATTTTAAGACGACATTAACAATCACTCAAATTTATGCGGCTTTTGCGCAACACAGGTTACATATTTGCAAGGTTTACCTATAAGTACAATAGGTATTAACATTTCACTACATTTAGAAAAAAAATAAAGGTGACCTGTTAGTGACCACATACATCAAAATATACACAACACAAACTGAAGGCAATCATTAATTTTGTCCCCTTCTGATTCATTTGAACGGGCAGTGCTGCAAACTGAAATAACGTTGCTGTTTTTTTAAATTACTCCGTACACTGAGTGCATTTTCTAAAACCCAATCTTTGGTCTAAAAGTAAACAAACAAACAAAAAAAAAGGGGGAATGAAGCCCCAAAAAAGCAGTTCGGTAAAGAAAATAATAAAATAATAAATGGTCAAAAGTAGTTCTTGGGCATGGTTCAGTATTAATTCTGCTTAAATACAAATTACGTTTTAAGGGTTTTTTATAGTTTTCATAAATTTAGTTTAGTTTTGGTTTCTTTTATTTCTTTCAAGGTCTGCACCCACCGACATATCCATGATAACTTATAATACTGCAAACATGGAGAATCGGGCGGCTTTTAGTGATAGACTTATCATATTTGAATAAAAAAATTGCAAAAGCAGTCACTATTTAGATACACATTCTACTATAATTTTGTCTTCCAAACTTCATAGACTACAATGCAATCTCCCCACATTGCACCTTGCTGACACTCCTCACCTTGGTGGAATAATAAACAACCCTAAAGACTGAACAAACGTACAGAAAAATGGGGGACTTAATAAAAAATACCTGGACTTTTTTGTTTTGCTTTTTTTTTCCTTTTAATTATCATTTACAATGCAAATGTGTGTAAAATGTTCACTTACAGTCTGATCCCATGGATGTTAATGTATTAAAGGGTTTGAAGAAGACCCCTGATTTTGATGTGTGAAATAATCAGAAAGTCCTCCGGAAAGTCCCGTTGTAAAACTTGGCAAAGAAGGTCTTAAAGACTCACAGGGGAGAGTGGAGGGCGCCTGTGGCGACGTGGAGGAGGAGGCTGCCCTGGCCGTCATTGAAGTGCTGCTTTGAGAAGTCATTGAAGGGTGAGGAACATGGGGGAAAAAGTAACTCGTCTGTCCTGCTAGGAGATTTACAGAGCAGGGGTTTAGGGAATAGGTGCCAGAGCAGGGAACTGACAAGCCACACGGCACTGAGGCGGCCAGAGCTGCTGCTGTGAGGTGATGAGTGGCATAAGGTATCTCTCCATTGACTAGTCTATCAACACTTAACCCATTAGACGTGGAAAAGGAGTGGTTGTTTCCCAAGGAGTTTTGAGTCAACACTGAGCTGTAGGGCATGGGGTGGCTGGGGTAGGCAGACGTGGTCCCATTGTAACTCAAAGTGCTGCTGGCCCGGGGGTGGTGCAAGGAGAGGAAGGGGGACATAGGCCAGTACAAGGATCCTGCCCTATCCATGAATGTCAGTCCGGTGGAGGTGAGCCGGGCGCCCCGCTTGAAGGCCAGCTTGGCCCGAGAGGTGGTGGAGCGACGGCGAAGCTTGCCGGTGGTACCCCCAATGAAGACATCGTCGCTGGAGGGGTCCAGCATCCAGTAGTTCCCTTTGCCCGGGTCGTCGTAGTGGCGGGGAACCTTGACGAAGCACTTATTGAGGGAGAGGTTGTGGCGAATGGAGTTCTGCCAGCCCTGCTTGTTCTCCCGGTAGTAGGGGAAGTTCTTCATGATGAACTCGTAGATGCCATTGAGTGTGAGGCGCTTCTCGGGGCTCTGCCGGATGGCCATCATGATGAGCGCGTTGTAGCTGAAAGGCGGCTTCTCGTACTTGCCGTTCTTCTTCTCCCCCTCCTTCCCGCTCTCCCCGTCCTTGGCCCCCTCCGCTGCCCCCTTCTTCTCCTCCGCCGCCTTCTCCTTCTCCTCCAGCTCCGCCGCTACCGCCGCGCCCGCCTCGCCTTTGCCCGCCAGCATGTCCGCCTTGGCCACCTCCAGGGCGCCGGAGGCGGTGGCGGCGGGGGGCGGCAGGAGGTGCTGCCCCTTCTCCTCGTCCTCCTCCTCTGCTGCGGCCGCTCGCTGGGGCTGCTGCTGCGGCGGGTGGTGATGGTGGTGATGGTGGTGGTGGTGGTGATGGGGGTGGTGGCTGTTGTGGTGGCTGTGGCTGCTGTGGTTGTTGTCGCTCTGGACGGCTTCGGGCACCAGGCTGTTTATGCTAAAAGAGGATTTCGGCAGCATTTTCACTTCCTTCCTATCTCCCATGTCCAACATCACACACTCGTCTGAGGGGGAAAGTTGCAGCGGCCGAGGGAGCTGCGCGCGGGGCGGCGGAGGAGGTGGCGGCCGGAGCGGCGGCGGTGGCCGAGGCGGCGGCGGCGACGGCACCACCGGCAGCGGCAGCGCAGTTGGACCGCAGTATCAAGCACTGGCAAGTCATGTAGCACAGACAGGAACCGCCGGGGAGGGGAAAAAAATAATAGTCATAATAATCACCGATCAGAGAAAAATCAAGCCGAGTCGGAGCGGAGGGAGAAAAAAAAAAAAAAAAAAGATTTAAAAAAGGGGAAAAAACCCTCTGAAACCCAAAAAAAAAAAAAAAAAAAAAGGCAACAACACACAAACACACACACACACACACACACACACCAAAAAAAAAAAAATCTACTTCATGGTGCCCGGTTCCCCCGGCACCGCAGCGCAGGGGGAGGCAGGAAGGCGCAGCAGCCGCGGCGGGCCGGCGCGGAGCGAGGCAGACGGGCGCTCCAGCCCGCCCCGGCCGCAATTAATTTCAGAGCTGCCGGCACGCACCGGGGCTGTAAAACATTTTTTGGTTTAACCTTTCCCACCGGCCGCCCAATCAGGGCCGGCGGCGTGCGCGCGCGTCTGCCCGCCCGCCGGCCAATGGCGGCGCACCGCCCCGCCCCGCCCCGCGCCGCCCCGCCCCCGCCGCCACCAGGGCTCCCGCCGCGCAGGGATACCGGCGCAGGGGCGCATCACCGCTCCCGTGCGCGCGCCCCCTTCCCCCGCGCCCCCCCGCTGCCGCCGCCGCGGGCACAAATCCCGGCACGCCGGACATCCCGCGGCACGGGCCCGGCCTGGCTGCCCGTGTCCCTAGATCCTCCGGCAGACCAAAGTTGCCCCTTCCTCTAGCGGCGAAGGAGGCGGGGTGGGAGGTCGGGTGGGTGAGGAGAAGCGGCATACCGTTGGCGGCGGAGGCACTACTTTGCGGATCTAGCCGAAGTCTCTCGGCGAGTTTATTTTCCCAGGCCCGGTTATTTCTGTTTGTTGTTTTACCGAGGGAGAAAACAAAACCATCGTCCGGAGAGGACGCAGGCGGCGGGGTGGGCCCGGGGTCCGAGTGCTGGACGCCGCTGTCCGCGGCCTGCCAGGGAAGACAGGTCCGCTCGGGCCCGCCCGGCCCGTGCCCGCCGCGCTCCTCACTGTGAGTTGGAGGGCTCGGGAACGATCGGGCACTCTCCTCCCCTGCGCTCTCCCTCGTGTCACCGGCGGCCGGAGCCGGGCTCCACGCTGCCCGCTCAGCCCCGCGCCGCTCCCGCTGGGGCTCCGCTTCTCCTGCGCGGCCGCCGGAGCAGCGCGGGGCCGTCGGGCTCGGTCCGTCCGCTCCTTCGCTCGGCTCCAGCCGGGGCCGAGCAGGCCGCGCTCCAGGCGTACCCAATAAATACTGACACCGGTGACCCGTGAAATATACTGCGGTCTCTGCCAGCCCGGCCCGGCCCGGCCCGCGAGGTCTGGGTTCCGCGGGGTTCAGCCTTGCTGGCGGATGGGAGAGGGCGGGCGGTAGCGGGCCGGCTGCTCACGGAGCGGGCGAAAGGGTCTGGCACGGCCGCTTTCCACCAGTACGCGCGGTGGTAGAGGCACGGGCTTACCGCCACAGTTTGCCGGGACCGAGGGGTTGGGTATTAATCGTCCACAGCACATCATTTCTTGCTGTCAGCACGGGAACAACAAAATGAACCGGGAAACAAAGAGAAATACATCGCGCAGCTCTCTTACTCGGGAAGTAGAGGGGGCAATGTAATGGACAGAGAGCGTGCTGATCGCATTCAGACCGAAGCTGTAGGCAAACGTAGCGCCGCGTTAAAGCTACTTAGTGTTTGTGCCGGAGGAAAAGATGCTCCGTAGAAACAATACGTGCAGCTCAACTGCAGCTAAAACAATTTATCCCGAGGAAATTCAGGTTAGAGCTCAGTGCAGAGAACGTGGTTGTGTGTAGATGTGCGTTTTATATACGTATTTATGTATGTGTGTGTGTGAGGGAGGGAGAACGAGTGTGAGAAAGAGAGAGTAAATAACGAGAACAAGTACAATGGACCGGTAATAAACAATTGCAATTGGGAATGGCATGAACTTTGTGCATTGGATTAACCTCAAATGACCCTACCACAATTGTATTTATTTAACCAATTTCATAACAGGTTGCTACTGACACATACACAAAAAAACTTAATGATCAACAACCACTCTTTTTTCTTTTCTTTTCTTTTTTTTTTTTTTTTTTTAGAAATACAAGTTTGTTTGTTTTTTTAAAATCATGTCAATTTGTAATTATTTCGTGTCTCAGCACTGAAATCAAGGCATGGGATTTCTTGAAGAAGAAGGCGATGTGGAGGACATTAGATGACTCTACCATGGCAAGGGGTAAGAGGAAAGGTAAGCTTCCTGCATATTATTATGGTTATGATGATCATTAACTAATATGTGTCATTATGGTGCACTAGGATCCCATTAGGGTGGCTGGGCCCAGTGCATTTTCCTACTCGGTCTAGCATGTAATGATTCCATGTAACCAGATTCTTGAGAAAGGACAGGTTACGTAAACATTTACTGATGTGGAGTAACTATACTATTTGTACTCTGATATGCAGGAAGGAAAGTGTTGATTAACACAGAAGAAAAAAAAAAGCGAAATTAGCTGATTGCATGCTCATAAGTGCAAGCTGTCATTGAACTGCTTTTAAAATAGACACAGCTGGGTGTTTGTGTTGAAAAATTTCTTGTGTTTTTGCTAATACTGAAATAAGCATGATTTTGTATACCAAACATTTTCAGATCATTAAAATTTGTAATCTGTGCTGGTTTAAAACACAAAGAAAAGAAACAGATTCATTTCACTGTAAAATTTGCTGATATTATATTAACTCAATCAGGTCTGTACAAATGGTGCAGTGTGCCTTATCAAATCTCTTTGATCCTTTTAATACACAAAGTGCAAAACGTGTGTATTGTTTGTTAACATTGAACATTTTATTCAAATCCCAGCTCTGTAGTGAACTGGAAGAGTTCTTGTTTAATGTAACACTGACATCGCTTGTTGAAATTTTAATGCCTTGAGGTGTTTCTTAGGTCAAAGCTGAGTTTACTTTGCGTTGTGATCGGGGATGAAAATGTAACAGGGAAGAAAATAGAAGTTTTGTCTTTTTTGTGTTTCTGAACAAAAGGCTCAGAAAGAAGCACGCTCTAAAAACATCTGATGATCTATATCCAACAGTCGGTCATTTGTCACGGGTGCAGAATAAAGGTCTGTGCACAAACTTAAGATTTATATATTTTTTAATGCCATGGATATACAGTTCTACCAAAAAAGGAAATGTTTTGTCCAATACGTAGTACATATCTTTCTAAGTCCATGAAGATTAATTCACTGTTTACAGGACAGAAAAGAATATGTAAGAGAAGCCACGTCAATTATTCTTTCTGCTGGACTTTAACTTTCGAGTTCTTTTTTTTTTTTTTTCCTCTTCAACAGAAAATTCACCGTTTATAAAACTGGAGATATTTACTTTGGAAATAGGGAAGTCTTGCTTTAACGCCAGTTCCTCCCTGAGTTCTGCCCCGACCACGACTCCCCTTCACTTTGGTGGTACCTTTATGCATTGGGGTACTTCAGTGAGCAGCAGGTTTGACCCCTCAGCTCTGGCTAAACTCGAACTCTCTTAAGAAAGTCTGTCATGGCAGCATTTTCTAACAGGGAAGGTTTTGTGGGGTGTCTGGAGAAGAAGCTCGTGCTTGGAAGGGAGGCACACGGCCCCAGCCATTCGAAACACGGGTGGGTGTGCAGAGGGGAGCCGGCTCGCTGCAGGGTGTGGATGCTCCCTCACCTGTGTGCTCGCCGGCACTGTGGATCCGCCGAACCCAGCGGCGGGGATGGGCTGAGAGAATCCGACTCCGGGGTTAGGATGGGGGTGAATAGCTGAGCTAAAACGTCCTGGCTGAAGTGCCATTCAACAGCGATCTCCGTACAGCTCTTGAGTGTAACTCGTAGGGATAGTGTTTCGACCACACACTTTTATCCTTTTTTTTCTTTTTTAAATTCTTATTTTATTTTTAAATTAAAGGCCAAAGGAAAAACAGACCCTCTCCATTGTACACTCAATGGATATAGCGTACTGCCTTTGCACGTCCCCCTTCCCCCCGAGCCCCAGCTCCAGCGTTCAATCCCCCTTCACATGGGTATAGTGGCTCTGTACTCTCGGGCTCTTTCAAGGGGTTAAGCTGCTAAAATGTACTGACAGCTTAAGAAATGAATGAGGTTTTTTTCAGCCATGAAGAAAGGGTATTTAATAACCACGCTTCGATGGCATTATGCTTCTAGGAAACGAGTTGGGACACTTTGGTTTAACAATCAGTAATATCACATTCCTGACAGTAAATGCCTCGATGTACGCATATATAATTCTATTCCCACTTGACTATAAGCTTGCCTTATTTGTTCCAGGTTACCTGGGCAATTAAGGTAAGGGCTTCTCAGCAGACATTGATACCCTGCTGCTAAGGCATGGCGAATGGGGACGGAGCAGCACACTAACAAAGAGAAAGAGGTAGTCAAACATTTTGAAGAGGGGTGAATGGGACTGAAGGTGGATGGATGGATGAATGAAGGCAAAGAGGGAGAGGAAGAAACATTCAATGGTCCACATTTCTATCTGCATTTGTAGATTTAAGTTTAGGTGTCCGCCTCTAGCCAACTTCCAGTTAATCCTCAACAGCTTCTAGTGATTAGAAGTTAGTCTGTTTAGCATGCCGTATCCTTCTTCCATGGGTTTTAGTTACAAGTTACACGATTAGGATTGCGAGAACAGTAGTGAACTAAACTTCCCAGTAAGAGGTCTTCACACCAGGGAAGTGTTACTTTGCTGCAGCAGCCCTGCCTCGTCAGTCATTAGGAAGCTGCAGGTTGTCAGAGGCTTCTCTTGCGCGCACACAAGCGCAGACACACACACACACGCACACACAAAACCACAGCACTAAAACTAAATTAAGAAGCCGATGATTAAGACAAGCGTCTACAAGGCCTGTCATTTCAGCATCCTTCCATCATAACATTGTGGCACCGAGAAATTTACTTGAAAACCCTGGAAAAAAATGTCTATGGGAGAGCCTCATGTTTGAGGCTGTTAATATCAAATATAGACTGGGAACTGCCTCGGATGCAAGATAGTATTCCACAGGGGAAAGGAGCACTGCAGAGACCCTGGAGCTATCCACACACTCTCGAAACTCTGGTAAGTATCTCTACTTCTTATTGCAGCAGGTGGGCACTGTGTGACTGGAACTGGACCGGGTTTGAAATCCGCAGCTATGTACCCTTTGGGGACTTCGGGGAACTCGCCTTAAAGTTAGGGGGTGACTAATAGTTATTGGCACTCGGTGCCTCTTTAAGGAGAGCAGCTCATATTGTGTCGAAGACCTTCCAAGCACCCTTTAAATACAAACATTTTAAGTTCCCCTCCCATGCATCCTCATCCCTGTTGTTTTCGGGCTAGTGGCGTTGTGTCTCTCCCCTTTCCCCTCCCCCCCTTTTAGCTCTCTAGTCTTCCCGCCCCCCACCCTATTCAGAACTAATTGCTCAGTTACTTAAATGTTTCAAGAAGAGCTAAATTTCTCTATCCGATGATCTTTTGAGAAGCTGCACTGTACCATAAAGAACAGTCAGCGGGATACTGTATACCTTAGAGGAGCCAGCGCATCTAGGGAAGAGGTAGCGTTAAAATAATGACATTAACAAACTAAGTGTACAGAGTTTCCCTCCTGTTGAACTTTAGGGAGTTTCTTGGGCGGGCAGAGATTGAACGGAGAACGTGGAAATGGGAAACAATGGCTGTAGAGTCCAGAAAGCTTTGCTAATGTCGTAAGCAAAAACAAGACAGAATAGTGACAGAAAGAGATCCGAGTAAACATTGGAGTATACATTTCTCACGGCGGCTACGCTGGGTGGAGAGGTCTGAATTAAATCGCCTTCATTAGAAACTGAAGATTTTATTTATTTAGTCCTGTAGATGTACAATGCCATCGACAGAAAGTCTATCTAGGGAGTGTAGAGCATCCACTAGATTTATCGTGTTCAGCTGCTACCTCCAGAATTTTTCAGAACAGAATATTTTTATACTCGCTGCCAACTTTAAGATGTGCGGTTTGTTAGATCCTAAATGTCGCTTTTATTTTATATACCAGTGTGCAGAAGACAGCCATCACACCTGCCTAGGCAATAGATGTCCCCGTGTAATGAAAGTTCTCCCTAATTTAGGAATCAAACAAAAAATTAAAATATCCATTAAGAATTATCCACAGAGTTATGCAGAAGACGATAATAAAATACAAAGAAGAAATGGACAAGTTATTTTCTTATCAAGGTTTAAATGCATAATTTTATTTTCTGCTGTGTTTACTGTTAAAACATTCTAGGCCAGTGCATTTGTCGGTCTTATGATATTCAATTAAAGAATGGCGAAATAAAATACGAGGGAAAAGAAAGATGTGGAGGAAAAAACCACAAACAGTGCTGGAAGAAGACTTCTAGCTACTCTTTGACTCCTAAGAAACTGTTGCTGGAATATTTTCATGGTGTTGTTCTAAAGCTCTTTAGCCTCTTATAAAGGTAATCTTTGGCAAATGACACATGTATCTGGTTTTGCAGTTTTTCGGTGACTCGAAAGAAAAGACGCCCTCTCCCCCGCCCACCCAGCTTCCACCCCTTCCCCAGCAGAAGGACAGATACAGTCTCTCTCTTTCTCCCAGCGCTGTTTCCACCCCGGCGCTTAGCGAAAGGCATCCGGGCGCGGGGGGGCGCCGGTGCCCGAGAATGACTATCCATCCGTCCGTCCCTCTGCCCTACCTGGCCACACCGCCCCCGTCGCTGCCCGCTCGGTGCCACTCCGTCCCGTCGTGGCTCTCTCCCCGCACCACATCTCCACCGCACCTCTCGGGTCGGCGAGGTCTCGGACTCGGCCAGATCACCTGCGGATCCAATTTTTAGGGCCTACAAAAGCACACCATCCTCCTCTATCCTCCTATCGCCCCCGTCCCGCCCAGGGGTCCCCTTGTAACCATAGCAAAATGCCCGGTGTAGCACGAAAGCCATAAACAACTGTACACCCTTCTAGGAGAAAGCGTTCGGCAGTCTGGGACTAAAGGCGGTGTTGGCTTTCCCCGTGCGGGGCTCAGGCGTGAGGACGTGCCGGAGCGAGGTGCCGGCTCTCACTCGCGGCGTGACCCGCGCTCGGCGGGTGTCGGGATGACGGGGCTGGCTCTAGCGCCAAAGAGGCTGCCCGCGAAGCAGACCCTGCTCGCTCCTTGTTCTCCTGGCACGAGGAGGGCTCGCAGGAGCTGCCTCTTTATGTAGGTTGTTCTCAACAGTTTTTATATCTGTCAGGGTGGTCTCCATGTTTTCTTTCTTTCATTCTTTCTCTCTTTAGTGGAGCAAGGGGCTTGTTGGATGATTATAACCGCTACCACTTACAAATAAGTTTCTTGGGGAAGGGCTGATATCGTACCCTTGATATCAGTGGGTGTGTCCATGTATTATTTTAATATGATATGCCTTTTATACAGAACTTGTTTTCCTCCTCCCTCCCTCCCCAACCGCTCCCCCTTCCCTCTCTCCACCCCACCCCCCCCGCTTTGTTTCTGGAATTTGTTTCGTTTTTAAAGCACCAGCACAAACAAACAAACACACAAAAATGACTGGCAACAAGTTAAATCCCATTTGGGCCCCTCCCATCGAGCACGGACCGTGCCTTGCTAAAGCCTGTAGTTTGTAGTTTTGTCTCGACAATAATTTGACCAAGAAAGAGAAGTGGCTGCAGACAGACTCTCCCGGGAGAGGAAAAAGAGAGAGTTCTCCTGGGATGCATCCCCTTTGTGTGCTTCCTTCTCTCCATCTTTTAGACGGGGCATTCACATAGGCGCTCACACACGCAGAGGTTATGTTTCCTAGCAGTCTTCAGAAAACAATGTTTATTATAATCGAGTTATAAACTAAATAATGAAATCATGCCGTAGCTTCGGAAACTCCAACAAATAAGTAATTTCCATTTGTCTACTAGCAGAATATCGCAGAGGATGACATTACACTTTATTTTCACATTCATTTCAAAACACCAGTGAAAGGGCAAAGAAAAGGCTCAGAAGTCGTTGTACACGTTGGAATTAACAGTATGATACTAGCAAATCGGGTTTTTAGATTTTTTTATTCCTTCCAAGACGACTACAAGCTAATTTCTGTGGCTATATTAGAGAGGGGATCCGCAAAAGCAAAAAGCGTAGTTCTCACTGAGCACCGGGATCGTGTCCCGCTATAGCTTCACTGAAAGCATCTCACAGTGAGCCACCCGCATTCCCGCGCCTTCCCTTAGTTTCACATTACAGAATAGCAGAGAAAGCATTCGTGTTTGACTGTACCTAAGAAATACCTTTTTACGCAATCGCACGGTTTGCGAACGACAGTTTAACTTTATCTGTTGTTTTGTCATATGAAATTAACTTGTGAAAGCCTTTATATCATTTTTTGATTTGTGTTTGTCGACAACGCGGATCATATCTCACAGCGTTGATGGTTGATACAATTGCTAAATTAAAGGCATGCTTTCGGCTTTGGAAAACAACAACAAAAACCCAATCATCTGAGAGCTCATTCTCAGCGAAACAACCCGAGGAGCAGCAGAATAACTCAGCGCAGTATTTTCTATAGGTGTACGGTGTCTCCACATATTTCTGTATCATTCTACGTCTCTACCGTCTTTTCCTGAAGATAACCAAGTCACTCCTGGGCTTCTCACCTATATTCGCTACCTGAAAGGACAGTATATAATGGCTCTAAATTCTTGAAGGAATGTAATTGACGTGGTATTTTCCCCGTGTCTTTATTCTTCCGTGGTAAATACTAGCAGCTGAATTGACACGTTCCTATGTTTGAGCCACAAGAAGCTCACCAAAATCATTGTAATAAAGTCATCAAACCGTCTTATGCACGTGGGAGATTTTTTCCTCTCTGCTTATGTTCTGCTTCTCATTTTCCGAGGAGGATACCTCATTGAGTCCTGCGGTCTGGTTTAGGCACTTCTCCGGACTTTCAGATTTTCAGTCTGAAGCTTTCAGTATGTTTGGGCTGAAATTATGATTTTCCACATTTCAAAAGGGACGAGGCTCTATTTATAAATGTTATAGGAGGTTTCGTTAGTTCAGGAACAACAAAACAGGAATAGAACGGCAATTTTCAAGAAAATAGTATTTCAAAATATAGAAATAAAAAAGTAGCGGAGATGATGTATAATTCAATCAAATTACAGAAAATTGCTTTAAAATTCAGAACAGTAGCGATCCATTATGTCTCTGTTTTATTAGTGACAAGTACAATTACTCTAAAATAAAGAACAGTGGTGAATATATAATTGGCTGTAATCATGTTAGTGTTTGAATAAAAATGACGGGGACATTTAACACTTTGACAACAAAATGTTCAGAAACAACTTATTTATTCAAACAACTTATTTATTCATCCACGTGAAGGAGAAACACACTTTTGCTTACCATAAATCCAGGGGTTTTCACTTTAAATAAAAATATAACTAAAAACATATTAATTATTTTATTATCCAAAGCTTAATAAAGTCTCCTGAGTATGACTGTACTATTATTGATTACTCAGTACCCAAAGGACGCCATCTACAGGAAAAGGTCTTTAGGCTGAACGCCTATCTAATCACTGTTGACTTAAAAAAACCCCCAAATCTGAGTTAATATTCCTCTATAAACCCGGCTCCGATTTTACCCACAACACTGATCACAATATTTTCTTTGCAATTGCTGCTTGCGATTTAATTCGTTATAATTTGACATGACCTAGGAATCTGTTACAGGAGGCCTTTTTTCTGAGATACGATGTTTAAAAAAATACATTGAACTCTACGAAGTAGCAATTTTTCTCCTTCTAAAGCAACTTTTTTTCCTCTCAGGACTGACTTGGTCGTCCCTGAAAATGCAGAACAGCCCACGAGATCTCTCCTTTCCACCAAGCGTGTGGAAGATGCTTGCAAAAGAGCCCTGAAAACAAAACAAAACAAAACAACTTGATTGAAGGCAGTTTGTGCAACAATTGTGTCATGGAATATCTAACATTTCTTTGTCTTTCAGTTTTTTCCTTTTAGATAGTTCAATAAATATCAGCTATACCCAGCATACTCTCATCTGTTCTCACGATGTATCCTTTGCCCCATAGCTTGATACTTAAAGGTGTCATTTATCCGTAGCCCAGCAAGGGCTCAGGAACCGATCGCCGCAGAAAGAGTGCCCCTTACTATTTTGACCACATAAACACAAATCCATAGGGATGGCAAATTCCTTCCACGATGCAATTCCAACAACCGAGTACAAAGAACAAACTACTAGAAAATACGAGGAGAGCTAGAAGAAACTTTCAGGACATGTCTCCCTGGGGACTTAAAAAAAAAAATCGGGTTTAATCCTTAACGATTTTTTCTTTCTTTCTTTTTTTTTTTTTCTTTGCCTATTTTAATTTCTTATTTATCTTCCCCTCTCGACAAGTCTCGAAACTTCTGCTCCTGGGGAATGTGTGTGTATCCGTGTTCACAGTGGGGTGAACCCCACACCGACCCGAGCGGGTCCCTCCTGCCGTGCGACGAAACTCAGCTCCGTCCTACCGCGCCTTCACTGCCGGCTCCCAAGGGTCTCTCCTGCCCAGGCGGGTTTCGTCAGCATTTGTAAAAAAAAGTAACTCTGGTTTCTTTCCACCTGAGGCCGGTGGTATGAATGGGCTTGTTAAAATTCAGGGGGGGATTAAACTATGCAGTGAGGAGTCAAAAGCAGAGGTGCGTTGGCACAATGGCCGAGGAAAATGACCCATGGTACAACCTCGATTTTATACGTTATTTTGTAAACTGGGGACAAAAACCTGGAAACTCTTGTTATTTGTGCTTCCACTGGAATCAGGCTCAAAGTTCATACCGAAGGTCTCCCTCCATCTTTTCACTCCTGGTCATTGACGATGAATGTTCCAAATCTAGAGACTGTGTCTTATTGCTGTTTTTAGACTTGAGGAAAGCTCAGGAGAGGAGGTTTCCTTCCCTGGGGCTAGCTGCTCCCTCAGGCACCGCCGGGGCCCGGTGGTTCCCTCCCTGACGGGAGCCGAGGAGACGGTGCCCCTCTGAACCATGAGGTCTGTCAATTCTCGGGTGCTTCGTACCAAACCGCAGATGTCAGCCTTTGCACTACGTGTTCGGGCTGCTAATGCGGGCACTTCACATAACAGAAATGCTCAGCTCGGGAGCTCTTCCCAGGGCCAGCCGCCGACTTCGTGCGTCGCATCTGCCTCTGGTGGCACCGGAGCTCCGTGCGCAGTGGCCTTTGCCATATTCCTCTGGGATCCAAGCACCCGCAGTGCTTTTTTGCCCTCTGCAAGCCGGCCAAAGCACAGACTGCTTACATCTCTGCGGGGCACACTACCGAGGTTCCCGCCTCAACCTCCCCAGGGTCTTCCGCAGAGACCTTTTTCTCTTTGTAATTCACACCCATACTCCCCTCACCTAGCAGCCCGCCTCCACTCTCCCGTATCGCCAACCAAGGCAGCCGCGGCCGGGGCCTCAGAAAGCCTCGCCTTCCCCGGGACCCTGAGATTCCCCCTTGGGATCCCGTCCCCGCGGTGTCCAGCGGAGGGGCGAGGGCTGTCCGGTTCCGCCCGGGCAGGGCCGTGTCTGGCCGAGCCGAGCGGTGCCCGGAGGCCGCCGCGGGTCGGGAGAGCAGCGGCTGCGGCGGCGGCGCCTCCAGCGAGGAGGGAGCGCGATCCAAACAGCGCCAGCGCCATCTCGCGGCCGGGGGCCGCCAGCGCCGGGCGCGCCGCTGCCCCGCCGTGCCAGGAGCGGCCGGAGCCGGCGGAGCGGCCGCTGCCAGGCCCGCCCGGGCGCGGGGGACACGGCCCGCACCCCCTGCCCAGCTCCACGTGGCTGCCCGCCGGCTTTCTGAGCGTCAGGCATCTCTGTGTCCCCCCCTGAAACGCCCTTAAGTTTTCGGTGCGGTGTTGGTATCGGTACAAAACGCATGTCAGTTTTGCGTTTACGCACACGGAACGCTGAGAAAAGAATTATAAGCACTTTAGTCTCCCCCTCCTCCCTCCAAAAGCCCTTCATGAAAACAAAGCAGACAGCAGGAGTAGCAGTCCCTGCCATCTCTCCTCTGAGAGATGTCCCCGCGGGCCGGCACCGTCCCTACACGCACTTCTGGGGCACCTCCCGGACCTGTGAAGAACGGGGCGGGGGGGAAAAGCAAAAAAAGAAACAATGTTGTGAAGACACTGCTGGCGAAAGGAGCCTTCAGTATTTAAATCCTAGTGTCAGCTCTCATTAACAGCTCAAGTCATCTTTTCCCCGGGGCAAACCTTGTCTGGTCTATCGACTTAATGGAAAACAAAACACATGTTTGTATTCTATTATTGCAGTCTCGTTCCTTGGCTTGCAAAGAGGAACAGGCTTCGACTGTTCCATGAGGGGCTTCCCGAAGCGACAACGTTTTTCCTTCGTTCCTCCCTCCTACCCTCCCAGGAAAAGATAAGGATTGCTGCGTCCGTCTCCTGCCCTCCCTCATGAATAGGAACTGCAATGGCAGCCACAAGAAAAGGCTTTCGCTGAAGCCGCAGAGGCTAAAAATAGTCCAAGAAAAATAGTTATTGGTATGTTCAGCCAAAATTAGTGAAGCACAATAGTCTCTGTGGGAAACTTTGGGGGTCATTTGTGCATAAGGTGAAGTGTTCAGCGGCTCGGATACAGCTGCCAGGACGGCAGCATCTCCCAGGGAGGCCGGCCGTGAGGAGACGGGCACGCTAAGCAATAACAAGCGACAGACTGAGAGTTTCGAGACAACCCAAAACAAATAAACAAGCTGTCCCTCGTCTCCCACCGGGAAGGTGGTTTTTATAAGGCAGCAGAGAAAGTTTTGAAGAGCTGCAGACATTTTTGCAAACGTATTTTAACTGATCTGAGCAGTTGGAGCAAATTGGGTGGTTGTTGATTTGTTTTGTTGGTTTGGTTTTCATGTGTGTGCGCGTAGTTTTTTTTTGTTTGTTTGTTTTGTTTTTTTTTTTTTTGGGGGGGGGCTGTTATTTTTTTTTTTTTAGACAACGGTAGGGAGAGGGTAAGAACAAGAGCTTGATAAAGGAAGGAATAAATTTCTCACCCAGCGAAAGCAGGAAAGGTCCGTAGAAGTGGCGACCTGACTTGAACAAGGGAGAGAATTCTGGTGTAAGAAAAAGAAATTATTAATTTCATCACGTCCTCAGTGCTTTCCCTGAGGTGCGGATCTGTGCGGAGTGTCAAGCACAGGGCACTTGAACACGACAAGAGTAACCAATCGAAATGAGCTGTCTTAATGTTCATCTCTTTGCTCTCCAGCCATCTCCAACTGACCTCCCCCCTGCCCAGCCCCGCTTCAGGACGCGCAGGTCTCAATAGGAAAGGTGCGAATGTGAAATTGCCCAGAGGCAGCATCTCTCACGGGGTGTTCCTTGAGCGGCTGCGGAGTCCCAGCGGAGGGAGCAGGTCTTTGGGCCTGGGTCCCTCTTCCACGGGGGACCCCAGCACCTCGGGCATAGAAGGTAGGGCCCCTAACTTTCGCGCTTTCGAAGCGCCGTTTGCTCTCAAGTGCTTGGCTGTAAATAAACGCTATGGCACTGACAACACAGCCGTCCTGCAGCCAGAGCGGAGGCTGTCTCTGCACCTTTCCTCTGGAACACACGCCGTCAGCGTTTTAATTCCAGCTCCAAAGGGAACCTGCAATTATGAGCCCCCCTCGTTCCCTCCCGCTCACATTCTCTTGTCTGAAACATCCACTGAGGAAGGTTATTTGGATTGAGAATAAAATCAAACAGGGAGGGTTGGAAGGAAAAAAAAAAACAACATAAGCCCAACAACCCAGCAAACCCTTCCATTTGCTATTTACAAACCTCATTGTCATGCTTCACTCAGGCTGTCTGCCTAGCTTGGGGAAATAAATGTGACTGAACCAGAGACAAAGCCGATGCAGCTGTATTTGAATTTCTCAAACACTGTCAAACATGCTCTTGTCTCATAATTCTCGGAGTTGTTGTTATTATTATGAATATCATACCTAATGTGAACGTACTCGAAAGAGGGCTGCTTGGCAGCAGAGAGACCTCATTCCGATCAGAAATGCACAGAAATTTCTTTAGCAAAGAGCTAAAGGCTCCTTTTCCCTCCTGCTTGGAAGCCTAGGCAGATAAACTAAGGAAAATTCGAGACCTGTAATTTCTTTTCCCAGAAGTGAGTAGGTTTGACTACCTAATCTCCCAGGTGATAACCCACTTCGGCAGCCCGGCGCTGCAGCCGCGGTGAAGAGCAAGACGAGTTCACCGGTCCCTTGCAAGGGAAAGGTGACCGCTGGCTGACTTGTCCTAGCCGTCATGTCAGCTTCCCTGTCCGGGGGTTATTAGGGGACTGCCAGTATGCTTGGTGTTACCAGGGCTGTCAGGAAGCAGAGGTTCTTGCCCTCGACTCCTTTGGAGAGGAGGAGGCTAAAACACTCCGGGGTCGCCACAGGAGATTGTCTTTAAGGGATACCTGGGAGCATTCCCATATACCTCGCGTTAGCTGACCTGCTTCTGACGGGAGTGGGCAAATCGTGCCGGCCCCGTTTCTAGGTCCCACGACGCTGGCAGGCCGGGCCGAGCGGGGAGCGCCACGGAAGTGCCGGGAAGCCCGCCTGCCCCGGCAGTGGCCCCGGTTGCCTCGGCGAAGAGCCTCCGCCCTCGCCTGGCCCCACCGCCTCCTCGGGCAATGCCCCTCGACGTGTCGGGAGCGGCAGCGCCGCCAGCCCTACCCGGGAAGGAGTCCCGGGTCTTCGGCGGCTGCCCGGGCCCAGCCCTTGGGTTCCCCTGCTCCGCCCGCGCCCCTTGACACCTTCTCCAAGACTCACCGCCTGCCCGGATGCCGCTATCATGTCAAGCGGCTCCTGACTCCCGGGCTTTGGGGAAAAAACCGGGGTCTTGCATGCCGGGGAGACCGACCTCGCGCCCCATGGTGTAAGCTCAATCGTCGCGATCTCCCCAGCCCTGCTTTTTTCTTACTAGCTTCTTCGTTGTCACACTCCTATGATGGCCCTTCCGAGCTCTCCCGCGTGGAAGAAGCCTCGTGTCACCTCTCTCCGGCAGGACCACTGCCCGGGAGCAGGGCCGCCCTCTCTCCCCAGCTCGTTTTGCTCCCCCCGTGCTCTCGGCTGTTTTCGTTGCACGGTGTCCTTCAGTGAGTGGAAGCAGGAAAATGAAAAGTAATGTGATCAATTATTGGTTTCAGACCATATTTATGGACGGGTAGAAGTAATAACAGTTATTTACTTTGCCGAAACGTTTATTTCACACTTGGTATATTTCCTTACAGTCGGAGAACCGATGTGGGAAAAATAAGCACAAATAAATTAACGTAGGAAAAGTACAGTTTTAGCAAAAGGTGATCCTTCTCCTGTCTAATTTTCGCGGGTGCGTTTCTTCCTCCTGACATTAATTTAAACCAACGAAAGGGCTAAATAGATTAATCTCTAGCCCTCCAGTCAAGCAAGAAGCAAAATACTAATTTACTTGTCCGCCCCCTTCATAAAAGAATATTTTTTTTCCTTTCCTTCAAATCGTGGCTGATGAACAATCAAAAATCAAAGCAGTCAGGAGGGCAGGAGCCCAGGTGGGTCTCTCGAGGGTATGGCCCCTGTACCCCTGTTCTCCTCTTGGTCCTGCGGTCGCCCGTTCTCCCTCCCTGCCCGTGTTGCCCGATATCGCCTCCTCTCCTGGGCACAGGACTGCAGGTTACTTTAACGCCTTCTGACCAGGCTTTGTCCCTTTTGAGACTTGTTAGATTCTGTAATTTGTTAGCAGGACTTCGTCTGCCTTCCCGCCAGCCCCCAGTGCAAGCAGGGTAATGTTGCCAGAGGCAGGGAAATACACATCGCTTTGTGATTCCACAGTCTTGGTAATAGCGCTTTCGTA